CCTGCACCATCTGATTGATGCCTTCTTCTTCTGTTTGGCTATCTAGTTAACTTACTTAAATCTAATTTACCCATAGATAGATACAACCGCGGGGACAGGTAAACAACCGCACATGTAACCAAGCAGAGTAATTCACCCCGAGCTACCGATGGATATTTGGTAAAAATTTCTACAACGTGGCAACTACAACAGCAGAACCAATCTGCCCAATTCAGCCCAGAGCTATTGCTATCGATTTTATTTCATAAGGTAAAAATTCTAAAACGCGGTGAAGTTCTACAACACAAATCGAAGCGCACGCCAGCGAGACAGACGCCCAGCTTCGACTCCGATCTACTCCCCAGCGTACAGACAACAGCCGCGCCAAGCAGATCGTCGCGGCGCGCACAAAATCGCGCGCCGGCGACGCCGCCGCACCAGCAACCGAGCACGCGAATCGACAAGATAGGGTTAGGGTTTGGGGTGCGCGACGCGTACCATGCGGACGTAGGGGTTGTCGCCGAGGCACGACTCGCAGATGATGGGGAAGTCGGACCGCTCCCAGCCGTCGGCCTGCGCGTCCCGCAGCAGCCGGTGCGCCATCGCCGCCGCCGCCGCCGCCGATGCAGTCGCCGAGGGGCAGCGAGAGCGAGAAGAGAGCGCACGGGACGAGGCCTCGATTCGATTAGACGACCACGACGCGCTATCGGGCTCTCTCTTTCTCGTCTGACCTGGGTGGGTTGGCTGCCTTCCTGCCTCTATTTAAATGGGCCTGGGTCATCCGGGCCTTAGTCGGCTTCGGCAATGTGGGCCCGACCGGCATACGGATTGCCAAGGGCCCAGATATAGTCAGCCAATAGGGGGATTGGGTAGTTTGTTTAGCGGCCCACTTAATCCTCAAAAAAAAGTTTAACGGCCCACTAGAGAAAGTTAATTCGGCCGGCGGCTTGGGCGACCCGGCAGAGAGGTGTCGAGCTGCGGCGAGATGGGCGGCGGCGGCGGCGACGGGAGGAGCAAGGAGCTGGAGAGGCTGTGGGCGGAGAGGGACGAGCTGGACGCCCGCATACGGCTGCTGGAGTCGGAGCTCGAGACGAGCTCCGCTGCTCCTGCCTCTCCCGCGGGAGAGGACGCGGCGGCGGCGGGGGTGGGAGACGGCGGGTGCGTCGGCGGTGGCGGTGCGTGCCAGGCGCGCCCTGGGCTCGCGCATGCCGATTCCCTCCCGGCCGACATGATCTACCGGTACAGCCGCCACCTCCTCCTTCCGGACTTCGGGGTCGAAGGTTAGTCAGCTCTCAGCTCAACTCTGTCCCTGCTGGGCGCAGCTCGATGAACCTGCCCTCTGATGCCTTGCTGACGGCGTGGCAGGCCAGAGGAAGCTCTCCCGGTCATCGATTCTGGTGGTCGGCGCCGGAGGACTGGGCTCGCCCGTGGCGTTGTATCTGGCAGCTTGCGGTGTTGGTAATGCTCCTGCCTCTGTCCCTGTTGCTGCTGGACTGAAGCCGTGTGCAGGGTACTTCTTCTTGCTGTCACTGACGCATTGCTTTCCTGTAACCCGCTATCCTCCTAGGGGTCTTGGGCATTGTCGATGGTGATGATGTTGAGCTTAACAACCTTCATCGACAGGTATAAATAATTTGGGATTTGCTTTGCTCCTCTTATATTAATCTACCTTATGAATTATGTTGGCGATCATGCTATCCGTCTATCTGAGAAACAAATTTGAATGATAGAGTAGGCAAAATATTCTAATTCACTTGTCAGGTTGTTAGCTATCGAACTCGGTCACTTTGCTTGATAAAAGTGGACCTTTTGAACATAACTGCTCATCGAAAATATGGTTGTTATTTCAAGTATTTAACATAGACGGGGCATACTATTCCTCATATTAAACATTTGAATGTTGTCTTAGATAATCCACCAAGAAGCATACATTGGAAGATCGAAAGTGAAGTCAGCAGCTGATACTTGCCGTGCGTAAGATACTGTTCTTTCAACCATTCTTTGTATGGTTGTATCCCCTCTTTTTTGCAAATGTGGTTGTATCCCCTTTTGAGTAGTATTTATGGCAAAAGAAATGCTCTTGCAGATTTGAGGCTACTGTGTAACTAATTTCAGTTGTGCTATTGTGAAATCAGGATTAATTCATCTATTAAGGTGGTAGAACATCATCATACATTGAAGCCAAACAACGCTTTGGAGGTTGTGAGGAAGTATCCTTCAGTAATCTGATGTGATCAGCAAATGAACACTACATATATTTAAAAACAATGAGTACTCCTGTTTTCAGCACTAAATTATCACAGATATGACATAGTTGTTGATGCAACTGACAACCTTCCTACGCGGTACATGATCAGTGATTGTTGTGTATTGCTGAACAAGGTAACACATTTTGTTTTTGGCTTTTGTTAACAGTGGTGTTCTAAGTACTTCACAATGTAATCCTGATTGACTGTTGTGTTATGTTAGTGGTTAGCAAGCCTTCTGCCAGGCTGTTGGTTCTTATTTATTAGCTTGCGCCACTATATTTATTTTTGTTTCATTTGCACTGGTTTTCATTGATCAAATTCAGAACTGTTTTTTTATTCTTGCAGCCTCTTATATCTGGTGCAGCATTAGGTTTAGAAGGACAGGTAAAGTTGTTTCTTGCAAAAGATCTTGTATTTTTTAGTCCGACTTAGTATTTTTTTATTCATTTGGTGATGTCTTGAATAGTTGACTGTTTATCATCATAACGGAAGCCCATGCTACCGGTGTCTTTTCCCAAATCCACCACCAGTGGCAGCTTGCCAGAGATGCTCAGACAGCGGTGTTCTCGGGGTTGGTAAGTACTCTAGTAAATCATGCTTCATGGAATAACAACAGCACACTGCAGCAGTTGAAATATGAACTGTAGTTTTCACTGTAAACATTGTCCGGGTATGTATGCATACCCAAATTTCTGTTGCACAAACAATTAAAAACACAAATAATTAAGTTACTCATCAAACACTACACTGTTTCTAAATTAGGTTATTTATCGGGTGACTACAATGTTAGATTGTTTTTTGTATAACAATGCTTCCTTTTCTAGATAGAGCATGCATTTACTACTGTAATTGTAAATTATTTTATTTGGCAGCAAATAGGATGGGCTATGATGTGCTAATCATATGCAATATTGACTAAATATCTTCTTTTTTCATAACTAATTTCGTACTGTAGGCTCACTACTTTTTGTTTACTAGTTCCGGGAGTGATTGGCTGCCTGCAAGCCCTAGAGGCTATAAAGGTTGCAAGCGATGTTGGTGAACCTCTAAGTGGAAGAATGCTGCTCTTTGACGCACTATCTGCTCGTATTCGAATTGTATGTTACTCTACTTCTGAACATTTACTGCTTATGCGCCTGTAAATCTATTCATTTTCCCACACTGTGCTGCATACAGTGAGGTGTTACTTGCTACTTGTAATACCCGTTCCATATATTAGGAGTGTAACAAATACTCCCTCCATCCCAAATTAAGTGTCTCAACCTTAGTACAACTTTATACTCAAGTTAGTACAAAGTTGAGACACTTATTTTGGGACGGAGGGAGTACTAATTAGGAAGGAAATTTCACTTTTCCACCTGAGAGTCATCCATGAATATGTGCATTGTACTTCATGTGCATTTTGGACAAGGGACAATTAGACTTGTTGTCCAGTCCTCAGTGTACTCGCAAATTTTGAACATGATAAGTCTACTCTTATATTTATAGCTGCTGCAGCTCAAATAATGGGTACAAGCGACATATACTGTCGCCTCCAACTTAAATGTTTTTAGTATATTTTATCATGTAATCAAACTGCTAGTCATATTTATAATATGGCAAGTGGGGTATGTTCATCTGGCCAATCCTACTAACTGACTTCAGCCCTGAAAGTGGCAATTTAAACAATGTAGGTTTTTGTACCATATGTTACAAGTTGTAAGAGAATCAGTTGGATTGGGATATGCATAGTAGATTATGATCATTAAGCCTATTCTGCTGATCCCGCAAACTGTCATTAGCATTGTATGACCTTTTGAAGTTGTATCAATTGTTTGAGGATTGACTTGCACAGGACAAGTTCAAACCTGCCTACAATTTGTTACTTTATATTATGCTTGTTTCATACTAAACAAATTCTATATATTTCATTATCAAATCTGCATATTTCTGCAGGTTAAGATTCGAGGAAGCTCGCCTGCTTGTACCATTTGTGCAGAAAATTCAGTTTTCACGCAAGAAGATTTTCAGAAGTTTGATTATGAGACCTTCACACAATCCCCAATGTCTGACAAGGTATGTTCTCCCTCTGTATTGAGATTCTGGTTTGCTTTTAATACTTAAGGGTGCTTCAGAACACTGACTTCATAGTTTGTCTTTAATGTGATCGGCATTTTGTGTAAACAAAGGGAGCTATGAATTGCATGTTTCGACTATTTTCTTGTTACTCTAATCACATGTGAGTTACAGAGTAGAACTCTAATGCTAGCTTAGCACTTAGTGTTTAGCAAGTGTTATAGGAAATGCTCATGGCACTGCAAACCAACTGGGTTTCCCTACTTGGCAATTTTTTGGCTAATCCATTGTCCCATACACAAATGTGGAGTGATAGTCCAGTACAGATGTGCAGTGAAAGCATTTAACGAGCACCCTCTAGTAGCTCTACAATCTGAGTTGGAATACGGGTATGTGGG